CATTCCAGTCCCCCAAAAACACCAAATCTCTGGATTTAATGACTACAGACCTGTCGCTTTCACATCTGTGGTCATGAAGTCATTTGAGCGACTGGTCCTGGCCTACCTGAAGGACATCACTGGTCCCTTGCTGGATCCTCTTCAGTTTGCCTACAGAGCAAACAGGTCTGTGGATGATGCAGTCAACATGGGACTGCATTACATCCTGCAACACCTCGACAGACCTGGGAATTACGCAAGGATCCTATTTGTGGACTTCAGTTCGGCCTTCAATACCATCATGCCTGACCTTCTCTCAGACAAACTCACACAGCTCTCCGTGCCCACCTCCATCTGTCAGTGGATCACCAGCTTCCTGACAGACAGGCAGCAGCTAGTGAGGCTGGGCAAACTCACATCCAGGACTATCACCATCAGCACTGGCACTCCCCAGGGATGTGTACTCTCCCCACTGCTCTTCTCTCTCTACACGAATGACTGCACCTCTAAAGACCCCTCTGTCAAGCTCCTGAAGTTCGCAGACGACACTACAGTCATCGGCCTCATCAAGGATGGAGACGAGTCTGCTTACAGACAGGAGGTTAAAGAGCTGGCTGTCTGGTGCAGTCTTAACAACCTGGAGCTTAACACGCTCAAAACTGTGGAGATGATCGTGGACTTCAGGAGAAAACCCCCTGCACTCCCCCCACTCACCATCATGGACAGCACTGTGACTGCAGTGGAGTCATTCAGGTTCCTGGGCACCACTATCTCTCAGGACCTGAAGTGGGACACTCACATAGACTCCATTGCAAAAAAGGCCCAGCAGAGGTTGTACTTCCTTCGCCAGCTGAGGAACCTGAAGGACATCACTGGTCCCTTGCTGGATCCTCTTCAGTTTGCCTACAGAGCGAACAGGTCTGCGGAAGATGCAGTCAACATGGGACTGCATTACATCCTGCAACACCTCGACAGACCTGGGAATTATGCAAGGATCCTATTTGTGGCCTTCAGTTCGGCCTTCAATACCATTATGCCTGACCTTCTCTCAGACATACTCACACAGCACTCTGTGCCCATCTCCATCTGTCAGTGGATCACCAGCTTCCTGACAGACAGGCAGCAGCTAGTGAGGCTGGGCAAACTCACATCCAGGACTATCACCATCAGCACTGGCACCCCTCAGGGGTGTGTTCTCTCCCCACTGCTCTTCTCTCTCTACACGAATGACTGCACCTCTAAAGACCCCTCTGTCAAGCTCCTGAAGTTCGCAGACGACACTACAGTCATCAGCCTCATCAAGGACGGAGACGAGTCTGCTTACAGACAGGAGGTTAAAGAGCTGGCTGTCTGGTGCAGTCTTAACAACCTGGAGCTCATCACGCTCAAAACAGTGGAGATGATCGTGGACTTCAGGAGGAACCCACCTGCACTCACCCCACTCACCATCATGGACAGCACTGTGGCTGCAGTGGAGTCATTCAGGTTCCTGGGCACCACAATCTCTCAGGACCTGAAGTGGGACACTCACATAGACTCCATTGCAAAAAAGGCCCAGCAGAGGTTGTACTTCCTTTAAATCACATTATTGTTCTTCAAGCTTTGTGTAGATGTGTATTTACGTGAGTCTAAACTCATAAATGTTGGATATTTGTATTTACTGGAAACAAATCATACTACTTTTATTAGGTTCATAGATGTTTTTATTGAGCCTTTTGTTTTGCATACAAATCATCAAGGAAAAATATATTTTAAGCTGGTGTTAATTTCAGAAGCACATATGAGAGATTATATGTTTGTAAGTAATGCAAGTACAATCACAAACTTTGCAAAGTCATACTTTAGTATTAATTGTAATAAGCACTGTAAACCATCTACTGGCTACAGTTTCTGCAACAATAATCCCAGTTGCCTTTATCATCTGTGTAGTACCATATATAATTGTAATCATATTTTGCACAAGCGTGGTTGCTGCGGCAGTACTTCCCCTTTTTAGTCTTACTGTTCCAGCACCAGTAGTAGTCATAGCCATATGTGGCGCAGGGGTGATCATCCAAGCACCTCTTTCCATTATACGTGATGAGTGAGTACCGGGGTGAGCACCATTCCAGCGTCTGGCCTGAGTAACACCAGTAGCTACTTAATTGGTCTATGAAGCAGGGAGAGGAGCAGCAGGGCTTGGTTTCACCTCCTGTGTTGCATTGACAGCTGTTATCAGATTCTGATACGCTTGAGCAGAGTGAGCCATTAGCTTTAGTTATAAGACAAGTACTTCCAGTAAAATCATTCACGTCCTCTGCCACTTTGTAGTAAGTGCTCATGCTGTCAAAGGCTATCTTTCCTGTATTCTCATTGACCTTGACTTTTTTTCAGGTGTGCTGTCACTGCTAAAGGTCCTCTTCACCACGAGATATGTGTCTCGCATGCCTGAGCTCATTTGGTCTGCTTTGTTCACTTGTAGATTAATTAATTTCTGAAACGCCTCCATAACCTTGTTTAATTTATTATTGTCACCAAAACAATCATCAGCAAAAATCCTAATTGACTGAGGAGTCCTTGAGAGCTCACTGTAGAGTCAGCGGAGATGATCATTCAGGTCTGAGACACTCATCAGGTCTATGTCAGGCTCTTCCTGCTGGTTTCTCCCAATATAGCCAAAGGAAAAAGAAATACTGTCATCACTGTCTTTATAACAGACAGCCGTCCAGATGTGAGAGGGCACTGACACCCTTTCTGGGTCTTTAGAGGTTTCCCTCTGTGGTATCCATACATTGGGATCAGGTACTGTACCTGTGACAATGAAAGCTGTTGCAGGACCATCCCTGACAAATTCTTTTAACAAATAACCCCTCAGCGTTCTCTCCCATCTATTCCAGTGGACACGGTAGAAACGGTCTTTCATTGGTGCAGCATTGGTCAGTGTGAATGTCACTGTACGGCCGTCACCGCATTGGAAGCTGTTGGGGTTCAGGTGTCCACGATCATATCTGGTGTCACTGTAGTCGCTGCTGATGGCTTGATTTTGTAAGAATCCACCCGCCAGCCCAAAAAGCGAAATCCAGCGGCCTGGTTGAAGGTTTAATGTGTATTCAGTCTTTTACTTGCGCTTCTGAATTTATCAGGATTTAGTTAAAATTTTAGTCTAGCTCCGTGTTCAATCTGACTCCAATTTCACGTGATCATTAAATTGAGGCAATATTTCTAATCAAAAGCTGATCACAGATATAGATTGTTTATTAATTTAGATATTTGAGTATTCTGGAAATCCCATACTTTCAATTATTCGTTCATTAGGGACCAGGTATTGCACAGGAATTGCACTCAGCCAAAAGTGAACCCACGGACACAAACTTGTCAGTTCTGAACTTACTCAGAGAATGCAGAGTGGTTATAATACCTTTAAGTAAGCTACACCCTGCATGCTGATATTAAAAAGTGTATTTTTCCCTATAACCACGAGAGCTACACCGTGTTAAGCCAGTGACAGTCAGAAATCCTAAGCCAGCCCCTAATGGTGTTCCCCATGGTTCATCCACTGGTGCTTCAGTATGATCTGTCCTGAACGCAGATTTGTGGAAATACCACTACACATTAATCTACTTGAAAAATGATTTCAGAAGAGATCAGAATAAATCAAATATAACAATTTATTATTAGTCAGGTAAAATTGTATCATGCCAATTACATTATGAAACAACTAGAAGCCAATTTAGAAAGGATAATGCAATTGTGAATCACATTGCAACCCTGCTCCTGTACATAGATACTGTAGCCATATACATGTTTTATTGTTACAAAAGCATATATCTTTTAAATGACACTATCTCGTTAAGACATTTTTTGTAAAAAAAAACAAAAAAAGTATTGTGTAAAGCGCTACACAAATAAATGTGAGTTGAAATTATTAATCATTTCTCGGGCTGAATATCAAGCGTGGGGCATCTGTTGAGGAGTGTAAGTGCAGGGAGGGCTCTGTGCACACGTCAACACAGACACTGATTGAATTATTACTCGTGAAAATCACATTGTTGTGCTTCAAGCTTTGCGTAGTGTGTGTGTGTTTATGTGAGTCTACACTCATAAAATGTCAGAGATGTGTTTTTACTGGAAACAAATCATACTACAGTACTTTGTGTAAGAATTTGCAAATATATTATAGGTTCATAGATGTTTTTATTGAGCCTTTTGCTTTTGCATACAAATCATCAGGGAAAAATACATTTAAAGCTGGTGTTAATTTGAGAAACCTGTATGAGAGACTTTATGTTAGAAAGTTTGTTGGTTTGTAAGTAATGCAATTATAAATCACAATTAACTTTGCAAAGTCATACTTTAGTATTAATTGTAATAAGCACTTTAAACCATCTACTGTCTACAGTTTCTGCAACAATAATCCCAGTTGCCTTCTCTATCTGTGTAGCACCACAGGTAATTATAGTCATGGTAGCCACAGGCGTGATCAGACCTGCAGGTTTGGTAATTAACAGTTGAGTAGCAATCATCAGAAGTACAGCACTTGTCATAATTGCCTTTATCATCTGTGTAGCACCATGTATGTCTGTAACCATATTTTGCACAGGCGTGGTTGCTGTGGCAGTACTTCCCCTTTTTAGTCTTACTGTACTTCAGCGGAGGACTGCAGTAGTCCCAGCTTTTAGAGGTCCAGCACCAGTAGTAGTCCTCACCATATGTGGCGCAGGGGTAATCATCCAAGCAACTCTTTCCATTATACGTGATGAGTGAGTACGGGGGTGAGCACCATTCCAGTGTCTGGCCTGAGTAACACCAATAGCTACTTAATTGGTCTATGAAGCAGGGAGAGGAGCAGCAGGGCTTGGTTTCACCTCCTGTGTTGCATTGACAGCTGTCATCAGATTCTGTGACGCTTGAGCAGTGTGAGCCGTCAGCTGCAGTCTTCTGCTTCTCTGGGACCAGCTGGCATTCAACAGCATCTGGCCCCGCGGATACCTCCCTTTTTCTGAGTTCATCATCCATTTTCCTCACTTGTGGTTTGGCATTAGTTATAGGACAAGCACTTCCAGCTTGGTTCTCTGGTAGATTAATTTCTGAAACATGCCCTGAACCTCAACTAATTTATTATTGACACCAAAACAATCATCAACAAAAATCTTAATTGACTGATGGGTTCCTGAGAGCTCACTGTAGAGTCTGCTGAGTTGATCATTCAGATCTGAGACACTCATCAGGCGTATGTTAGGCTCTGCGGGGTGGTTTCTTCCCATATAGCCGAAGGATAAGGACTTACTGTTATCAGTGTCGTGTTTATAACAGACAGCCGTCCAGATGTGAGAGGGCACTGACACCCTTTCCGGCTCTTCAGAGGTTCCCCTGTGTGGTATCCATACATTGGGATCAGGTACTGTACCTGTGACAATGTAGGCTGCTGAAAAACCACCATCCATGACAAGCTTCTGTATTAAATAACTCCTCAGCGTGCTCTCCCAGTTATTCCAGTGGACATGGTTGAAACATGCATCTATAGGTGCAACGTTGGTCAGTGTGAACGTTGCTTTAC